GCTGAAGTGCCCGCTGGGAAGTACCCAGCGGCCAGCGTCGCTGCGGCCGCGTCGGTCGCGCCAAATTTGCCGGCCGCAGCGCGCGCGAGCGCGCGCAGGATCGCGCGGCCGCGGAGATGCGCCGGCCAGCGCGAAGCGCTCGTCGCAATTGCCGCCGCGTGGGTTCTGCAGACCAAGTTGCGCGTGGTTGGGTGGGGCGATTGCGCGAGCAGTGGAGTTGGCAATTCATTGAAACTAATGCCACCGCGTAGATTTCACAGAGTGGCCTGCGCACCACATAGATCGCGCAACATAGAATGCGCCATAAATATGGCCGCGCAAAGATTTCTCCGCGCACGCGCACGTACGCACATATATATATATATACACACACATATTTATATATATGTATATATATACATATATACACACATATATATACAGATATGACACCACTTTGTTGCACAACATCGACTACGCACCATGCGTGGTGCGACATTTATAACGCTTAAGCTGCGCCGCGCAGGTTGTCCTACATCTGTTGCACGACGTTCATATTTCCCCCGTGGATCGCACCGTGTATATCTAACTCTATGGGTATATGATGTATACGTACATACATACATGTATACACATCTGTACCGCGCAGCTTCGACTACACAGCCGAGATCGCATCATATGGGTATCTCAACATAGTCTACGCACCGTGCGCTGCACCAAGTATGTTGCGCCACGTATGTTTCGCCATAGATGTGTATCTAATGTATGTATTGCACAACCTTGTTGCGCAACGCGCGATGCGCCGCTTTGATTGCACCGCGTGGTGTCCGCGCTCTAGGCTGTGCAACGTAGATTCCCCTTTTCAAACAGACAATAGACTCTGCCCCCCCAGGGATTATCCGTTCTCTTTTTCGCATTGCAATCTGCGCATGATTCTGCCCCATCGTCCATGCTGAATGCAAATTTACACCATCCACATGGGGGGCGGTATCGCCCCCCCCCCCCCGCCACCCTCTGATTTTTTTTTCATACGCGCGCGCTTGTTTATAACCAATCGCCAGTTTCCAAACATCCCCTGCGACAGCTGGGGCGAAGTGCGCGCGCGCGTCGTCGCGCGCGCGTGCCGACATCTTTCAACAACTGTCGGTTTCGCAGTGGTTTAAAAATCGAGTGTCCCAGAGCACATACAGAAAACATGTAGTTTCGCAATGCGGCCTGTCAAAGAAAGCCTGTGCGCGCGCCCTTGCACATTCTTGAAAAAAACCGTAGGTTTTCCCAACTTTTCAGAACATGCCACCAAACGGGCATCGCGCGCGCATGCCGAAATCGGTCGAGCGCCCTTGCGCGCGTGCTGCCGCGAAAATCCCCTGCAAGAAACAGGTCGAAGTTCACGCGCGCGCGCGTCGCCCCGTGTGCTTTTCGAAATCTGTTGATCTTTTGTTTCGCAGCGGTTGTGAAATCGAGTGTTCAAAGCATCTGCGAAAATACGTGGTTTCGCAACGTCAGTTTTCAAAAGAAAGCGCGCTCGCGCTCGTGCGACTTCTCAGGGGAACCAGGCGTTTTCAACATTTTCACGGGCTTCTGCAAACTAGCTACTCGCGCCGCATGCCGACATCATTTGCACGCCGTTCGCGCGTGCTCTGGGGGGGGGGGCGATCCGTGTCAAATAGTGCCATGCGGGCGGCTCGCGCGCGCATGTCGCATTCTCATCAAAACTTTCATCGCCGACGCGGGGGCTATGTCATCGTCGTCGGCGTGATCAGCATCCGCACCGTCGTTGGCCCCGCCGTCGTCGCTCGCATCACCTTCGCCAGCATCGCTACTATCATCGCCGTGTCTACCGTTGCCGGCGTTGCCATGATACCGCGCCCGCCCAAGTCGCCGACTCGCAATGAAGCGCCCGCTGGGATGTGCCCAGCGGTCAGCGCCACCGAGATTGCGTCGGTCGCGCCAGAATGCCAAAATAGCTGACCGCTGCGCGCGCATGCGCAGGTTGTCGCGGCCGCAGAGATGCGCCAGCCAGCGCCGAACACTCATCGCAATCGCCGCCGCACGGGGTTTGCCAGCCAAGTTGCGGGTGGGTCGGTGAAATATTGCGCGAGCAGTGGAGGTGCGAACTTTCCCACAGGGGCCTTAGGTGGAGTTCCTTGTGGGACCACGGAACGGGCGAGGGGTGTGCCGCAATGGGGCGGAGGTGCCATAGGACCACGGAGCGTGTGAGGGGTGTGCCGAAATGGGGCGGCGGTGCCATGCGAACTTGCCCACGGGGGCGTTCGTCTTAGCTCCATGTGGGACCACGAAACGTGTGAGGGGCGTGCTGGAATGTGGCGGCGGTGCCATGCGAACTTTCCCATTGGGGCTTCAGGTGGAGCTCCTTATGGGACAGCAGAACGTGCGAGGGGTGTGCCGAAATGGGGCGGCGGTGCCATGGGGCCAAGAAGCGTGTGAGGGGTGTGCCAGAATGGGGCGGCGGTGCCATGTGAACTTGCCCACAGGGGCCTTCGGCGGAACTCCGTGTGGGGCCGCGAAATTTGTGAAGGGGTGTGCCGGCACGGGGCGGCGGCGCCATGCGATTTTTCCCAGTGGGGCCTTCGTTGGAAATCTTTATGGGGCCACGAAGCGTGTAAAGTGTGTGCCGAAATGGGGCGACGTTGCCATGCGGAGTTTCCCATTTGGGATTTCGGTGGAGCTCCCTGTGGGGCCACGAAACGTATGAGGGGTGCGCCTACATGGGGCGGCGGTGCCAGGCGAAGTTTCCAACTGGGGCCTTCGGTGGTGTTCCTGATGGGACCGCGAAACGTGTGAGGGGTGTGTTGCCGACGTGGGGCGGCGGTGCCATGCGAAGTTTCCCATTGAGGCCTTAGGTGGAGCTCCTCATGGGGCCTCGAAGCGTGTGATGGGCGTGCTGGAATGGGGCGGCGGTGCCATGCGAAGTTTCCCACTGGGGCCTTCGGTGGAATTCCCCATGGGGCCACGAAGCGTGTGAAGGGTGTGCCGAAATGGGGCGGCGGTGCCATGCGAACTTTTTCAGTGCAGCTTTAGGTTGAGCTCCCTCTGGGGCCACGATGCGTGTGAGGGGTGTGCTGACATGGGATGGGCATGCGGAGAGCAGAGGCAGGGAGGGGAGGAGTGAGGAGGAGGAGGAGGGGGAGGAGGAGGGGGAAGAGGAAGGAAGGAGGAGGAGTTCGGTGCGCTGTCTCTTCAAAACGAAAACCCAACACTACCGGATGTTTGGGAATAGTACGCGGAGAGGATGGGAGATTCTCCGGACGAAACCAGGGGAGGGATGATAATTTTATTCATGTGGAGAAGGAGAAGGTGGAGGAAGAGGAGGAGGAGGAGGAGGAGGAGGAGGAGAAGGCGGAGGAGAAGGCGGAGGAGGAGGAGGAGGAGGAGAAGCAGGCGGAGGAGGAGGAGTAATAATAATAACCGTAATAATAATACTAGTCGTAATAACAATAACATGAAGAACAATATGGGTACTGATAAGAATGATGATCAGAATGTGGATGAACAGATTAAGAATAATAATAATGAGACGACGAATAATAATAGGAAAAAGAAAACGAATTCTACAATACTATTAGTACTAAGCATACTACTGATGCTACTACTATTATTGATTTTACTGATAGTACTAAAAGTAACAACATCAGTACTACTACTACTACTACTACTAGTACTACTAGTAAGAATAATAACAATAACAATAACACTAACAATAACAATAACAGTACTACTGCTAACTGTAAAACTTTTAGCAATAAGAATAGCAATACTACTACTAGAACTAATCTTAATACTACTACTAATAATGCGTATATTAATATTCATACTAATACTAATACTACTATTACTATTACCACTGTTACTACCAATTTTAGTAATAACAGTACTAATCATACTATTAGTCGAAATAATAGCAAACAAATATAATAGCCATACTGATACTAATAAGACTATTATTAATGATCATAGTAAGAATAAACATACTACTAATAATATTAAGGATAATACTACTAATAATAATGACAACAGTAGTAATCATACTAAGAAAAGTATCACGAGGAATAAGACTAATAATCATACTACTGCGAATCATAATATTAATCTTCATAATAATAATACGACTAATACTACTAGTAATACTAATCGTAATACTAGTAGTAGTAGTAGTAGTAGTAGTAGTAATAATACTAATAATAATACTAATAAAACCTAATAGTTAATAATAATAACATAATAATACTAATACTAATACTAATAATAATGATAACAATAATAATAAGGATGATAATAATAATAATGATACCAATACTAATACTAATACTAATACTAATAATAATGATAATAATAACAATAAAGATAATAATACTGATCATAATAATCCTAATAATAATACTACTAATAGTCATACTAAGAATAATAATAATACTCATAATAATACTAATGATGAAAATAATAATAGTAATACTAATACTAATGCTAATAATATAATACTAATAATACCAATATTCATAATAATAATAATAATACTAATCATAATAATAATAATGATAATAATAATAATGATAATAATAATACTAACAATAACAATAAACATAAAAACATAATAATAAGAGGAGGAAGAGGAGGAGGAGGAGGAGGAGGAGGAGGAGGAGGAGGAGGAGGAGGAGGAGGAGGAGGAGGAGGAGGAGGAGGAGGAGGAGGAGGGAGGAGGAGGGAGGAGGAGGAGAGAGGAGGAGGAGGAGGAGAGGAGGAGGAGGAGGAGAGGAGAATGATGATGATGGTGATGATGATGCTGATGATGCTGATGATGCTGATGTTGCTGATGATGCTGATGATGATGATGATGCTGATGATGATGATGATGATGATGATGATGATGATGATGATGATGAGGGAGGAGGAGGAGGATGAGGAGGAAGGATGAGGAGGAGGAGGAGGAGGAGGAGGAGGAGGAGGAGGAGGAGGGGGAAGCAGGAACAGGGCGCCATGTTTTTTTGGGTGGAACGTCCGAGAGGAGGAGAGCGCCGAGGCCGCGGGGTGGTGCGCGAGGCGCGGGGGCGCAAGATGTCGTCGCCGCCGCCGCCGCCGTCGTCGTCGTCGTCGCCGTCGTCGGGCTGCCACCTTCTGCCTCGGGGCGCACGTGGCGCGAGCCCGCCAATCTCCGATCCCCCTGGCCTGACTTATGATGTTTCAGCCTGCTAGTACTATTTTCGCCTTGATCGCCAGAAACAACTTCGAGCACCAAGAAAGTACCGAAGCTTGAAGGTTTCCACGTGTCGGGCCCTGGGAGGCAATACTCGCCCGACATTGTTTCGATACTTGTCTGGGTGCTCGACATTCTTTCTGGGACGTGGTCCGAGGGGAGCGTGGAGTAATGCACCAAACCTCTGGGGCTGGTAGGAGAAGCAGGTGGACTGGATGGGCCTCGAGCGAGAACTTTCAATCCATAGGGATAACCTAGGAGGAGGTCGCTTTAGGCAGCCCACACATGGGAGCAACATCAGGCCTGACCCGGGTCCTGGGAGTCAGGTGGGGCCGACCCTTCTCAGCTGCATCCGCCGGCCTGGGCGTGCGCTGCCCTCGCGGCCAGCCAGGGCTCGAGGCGTGGCCTGGGCTAGGTCTGGTCTCGAGCAGTGGCGAAGCGTCCTGGCTTGCCTATGGGCCCACCAAGCAGTGCTCTAATGTGGTTCCTACGAGGTGTTCGACGGACATTTCTGGCTGGGGCTGTCTTGTTTTAGTGCATCGGGTGGATGTTCTAAGAGCATGGTTTGTGTTCTCAGAACATGTTTGGGTTCTAAGAGCACTTCGTGGTAGGCTTATAGGAGTGCCGGGACGGTCGGTTCCTGCCCAAGGGTCGGCGCCGACCCCAGGTCAGCGCGTCAGGGCTGGACCCAAGCGCTGTTTTGCTGGGCTTCGCCCGTGTTTTGTTTTTCGTTTCGGCAGGGAGGTGCAGGGAAACAGGCAGAGCGTGACGAAGCACAAAACGAACACAAGACGAAACAGAGCGTCCAGGTCCAGCCCTGCAGCGCGTCACGACCCCCTTCTGTCGCTTCGTGCGGCGGGGGTGACCGCGGCCTCGCCGAGTGTGCCGCCCCTCCCGCCACCCTCGCTCTCGAGATCCCTCGCAGGCTCTGCCCTGGTCTCGCAGGCTCCTCCTCCTCCGCCCTCCTCCTGCGGGCCCTGGGCAGAGTGCGTGGGAGCTCTGTCCCCCAGGGTAACAGATCCCTTTCTGAGGGGTGCCACTGACCTCCCAGTTTCAGGCTCGCGAGTCTCTTCCCCTTGGGGCTGTCCTAACCTAATCCTCCTCCTCCTCCTCTTCCTCCTCCTCCTCCTCGCAGGCTCTGCGAGAGCCAGCAAGGCGCGGACGCGTTCGCGGACGCGGACGGCCTCGACGCCTTCCTGGCCGTGGCCATGGGCCAGTCGATGAAGGACCCGCGACTTGCCAACGGCGGCGGCGGCGACGGCAGCAGAGGCAGCGGCAGCGGCATCCACGCACGACTTCAGCTTGGAGGTCGCGACGCGGCAGCGGCAGCGGCGGCGACGGCAGCAGAGGCAGCGGCAGCGGCATCCACACACGACTTCAGCTTGGAGGTCGCGACGTGGGAGGTCGTGGCCACTGGCCCACCCGTTGCCGGCCTTTCAGGCTGCGTCCCTGCAGATGCGGGCAGGAGTGACGGGCCGCTCTGGGTTCGGGAGCTTCTGACAAGGGGCCAGCGAATCTTTCTACAGCACCGCCCACTGCGCTGGCTCAGGTGCGCGACCATTTCTACATCGAGCAGGCTAACAAGACCGCCACAGGCTGGTTTACTGGTATGAGACGACCCTTTCTCTGCTTTCGATCAAACAATCGAGGAACAACAACGGACAATTCAGCCGCATGTGTTTGTAATGACCTCACTCTGCCAATGTGCCTGGATTCAAAGTAAGAGTCATCTCTCTGGGGTTCTGCTGGGGTGTCTCTTGGGAACCTCTTGGGGGCCTCTTCAGACAGGGGAAGGTTTCTGCTTTCGAATTGTGTTGGCCCTCCGCGGGCAAATGGATCGCGTTGCAGGGCTGGCAGCCGTTGCCATCTTTGCTCGAACGGAGCCTGGGGGAATCGCGGAAGCCGTGGAAATTTGGGCAGAGACTTGCGGCTTGGCGAGGACTTTTCAAGCGAAAACGTAGATTCTGGTGCTGGGCTTATGAAGAAGTGTAGCGAAAAAGGAACGCAAACTGCAGGACACCTCGAGGAGACCGCCAGGACCTGGGCCAGAAGCCGCCGTTTTTTTGGTAAAGTTGCAGGCGAAAGCTACATTTGCGAGTGTGCCCCGGGATCAGTCTGCCTTCAGGGCGGGGAGTTTCCCCCCACCCCGCCCGGGAGCCCGCGACCCCGCCCGCCAGACCCGCGCGGCCTCTCGGAAATGTCAGGGGGGCCTCGCCCACATCCCTTAGTGTTGACGCCGACGGAAGTCTTCGACATACCACCCCCCACCACTACCATCACCACCACCACCATCACCACCACCACCACGACCACCACCACCACCACCACCACCACCACCACCACCACCACCACCACCACCGCCACCGTTATCACTGCCGCAGTCGTTGTCGCCGTGGCCGTAGACGTACGACGTAAATGTGACACCCTGGCGTTGATGTACGCCCTTGATGCACGACGCAGAGGACGGCAGCATCGATGCATAATCCAACAAACGGGCAGTGATGGTTGTGGCGCTCGTGGTGGTGGTGGTCGCCGTCGCAGTCGGGCTCCTGTTCGGGGCCTCCCAGGAGGGCGGCGGTGGCGGCGGCGGCCTGATGCAGGCGCTGGCGCAGGCACCAGGGGTCTACCAACACGCTGTTCTGGCAATCGCCTAGATCGTTTTCGCTTTCTCTTCGTTTTCGTTTCGTTTTCAGTCTAGGGCCCACCAGTGGCCAATCACGATTTCGGTTTTGCGCCGAAGCGCTGCTTTTGGGCCGTCGGCCGGTCCGCTCTCGTGTCACAGCGCCTCAACACGACAACGAAGCGACAACGCAGAACGCTGTTTTGTCGACCCCTGGCAGGCACTCATGGCCGATGTGAGCGAGTTCAAGCTCGCCGTCTTCGACACGATCGCCGCGGCGGCACGCTGGCCCACGCTGCGCGGCCGTGTCGCGGGCTCGGGCGTGCTGGGCGTTCTGACGGCCATGCTCCTCGCTCCGCGGCACCCGCCACCGGTCAAGGTCTGGGCCGCTTGAAGCCCGGGGGCAGAGCCAGTGTATGGGGCTGCGCTCCCAGCTCCCGATGGTCAGAGGAAGAAGAGGCACGCATACCGCTACCCTTCCAAACGCTCGACCTCCACCTCACGACCTCGGGTCCTAGCCGTCAGAGTCCCAGCTCCCAACTTCGGACATCCAGCATTCGACACCGACTCACCATGCAACCTCCGACATCGAAACTGCAGCATGCGTGTTCAGCCTCCGCTGCACACAGCACTGACGGCGATTCGCTGCAAGCACGCGCGTGCTGTCGACAACCGGCAGATGTCTATCGCGAGCTCCCGCAGATGCCGTCTATACACCACCACCGCGCCCAGCCAGGGCCACGCCAGGCTCCACGATGGCGTATAGTCAGGAGGGAAAGAAACACACAGATACAATTAATCCTCGATTCCCGAGAAAATAGTGGAAAATATGGGTTGTGGGGAGGAAGACAGAAACCCAGAAGATATGGGAAAATATGGGGAATCTTTTTATTTGTGTGTATTTATTTGTGTGTCCTGGGGCCCCTTCATATAGATCTTTCTGGCCTCGGCCAGGAGGCGTATACACCATGCCAGGGCCCAGGATTGCCCTGGCCTTAGGTCGGGCATGTCCTCCTACAGGCGGATTTTCGACGACAAATAATGCGTAGTCAAAAATAGACAACACTAGTCTACAGAATCGTCGCCATACCATTTTGGACTATTCTTGAATCTTCCTCCTGTAGAGGGACAGGCCTGACTAACCCTGGCCAGGAAGGGTAATGGTGTATAGATGCCTTCTGCGTATTCGAATCGCTGTGGGATGCTAAAACACGGACAACCTGAACCGATGGGGTCCTGCCCCACCGCGCAGGCCCCGAAGGGCCCCGCCGCCAGCGGTGCCTCGCGCCTCGCCTCGCGCCTCGCCTCGCCTCGCCCCCTCCTGTTGGGGCCTCCTGGGAGCCCTCGTCGCCATCACCTCGACTCGCCTCGGGATTCCGGTCAGAACGCCGGGAGGCCACATGGGAGCCCTGCCCCACCACCCCACGACTTCCAAGGGGGGAGGTGGGGTTCACTTCGTTCGGGGCCTCCTGAGCGAAGTGAACCCCCCCCCCCCCCCCGAGAAGTCGTGGGGTGGTGGGGCAGGGTTCCCATGTGTTCTCCCGAACGCACCCCGGGAGAGGTCCAGGGATGAGCGGCACGGGTGCCTTGTGGTCTGCCCAAATGGGGGCGGGGGAGGGGCGGCCCGGGTCGGGCGAGGCAGGGGGGCTTCTTCCTGCGTTCTTCTCCCCCCCCGCCCCTTCAGGCGATCGCAAGCGTGACTCAAGGGGGCGTGGGTCAGTGTCGTTTAACCGATCCCTACCCCCATTCCCACCCCTATCCCGATCCCCACCATCCCACCACCCCAGTTGGGGATATGCCCCTCGAAGCCCGAAGGGAACCGCCTATATCCCTACATCGGGGGTACATCGGCCAGTGGGACCCAGGCCACGCCAGTGGGGATAGGGACGGTTAAACGATGCTCAGCGGATTAGCAACGGGTCCCGTTTCCATGGGACATCGCAGTCTTCCGCCGCCGAACGAGGCGGCATTGGCAGCTTTTTGGGGCGAGCACCTCCCCCAATCCATGGATTTGGCGACCGCGCGCCAAATCCATGGATCGCTGACCCATGGATCGCTAATCCATGCTTTCCTCCATTTTGGATTGCTGTTGAGCGCACTTTGAGTACTTTTGCTTTTTTTTCCTCCCAAAGCACGCCTGCGGGAGGACATGCCCGACCTGCGACCAGGCCTCTGTGCGCCACTCCAGGGGCACGCTTTGGCCCTCGGCTCAACTTATTTGCAGCCGCGGGGCCGATATGTTTCCAAGGGACTCCGTATCATTGGCATTCTCTACTCCTGCCCGAGCCCGGGGCCATCGCCGATTTTCGGGGGGGGGGGAAGAAACGCTTTGGCTCTCGGCCCGCCCGCAAGGCCCTCATGGCGCGCCTCTGCGGCCTGCTGGGGGTGGACGCCCCGGAGGCTGCGAGCCAGGGCGGCCCGCGCCGGGCCGAGGAGTTCGCAAAGCTGCGCAAGCAGCTGGTGCACTCCAACGCGCTGGCCGCCCTCGTCGCCCAGGCGGGACGGCGGGAGAAGGAGGAGGAGGAGCAGGAGCAGGAGCAGGAGCAGGAACAGGAGCAGGAGGAGGAGGAGGGAAAGGAGGCGGAGTATGAGGAAGAGGAGAAGGAGGAGGGGGAGGAGGAGGAGGAGGAGGAGGAGGAGGAGGAGGAGGAGGAGGAGGCGGAGGAGGAGGAGGAGGGAGGAGGAGGAGGCGGAGGAGGAGGAGGAGGCGGAGGAGGAGGAGGTCCGGTGCACACCCAAGACCTCATCAACGATGGGAATACACCCTCGCTCCAAGCTCCCTCTTCATAGGCCCCAGCCAGTGTTCATCTCCACTGAGGGAAGTGGAGATTGGGAGACAAACGTTTGAAGATCCTGAAGCGTGCCCAAACATAATTCTCGGGACTCCAACGCCACGACTCGACTTGACTGTTGCGTCTTGACGATCTTGAACCGTGCCAGAACACCAATTCTGGCACTTCAGCACTGCGAATCAACGTGACTGTTGCGCCCTGACAGTCCTGGAAAGCTCCAAAACTGTATTTCTGGTACGTTGGCCGTGGAAATCTATGAATCTTCTGCAAATGGTTAAGGCAAATGTGCGCGCCGTTCAGGCGAGAGCCACATTTTGAAAAGGAGCCGCCCTCAATCCGTGAAGCTGATGCAATGCAAATGTTTAAGACGAGTGTGCGCGGCGCTAGGGCGAGAGCCACATTTTGAACACGACCCGCCCTCAATCCGTGAAACTCTTAGCGAATTTGAAGACGAGTGTGCGCGGCGCGAAGGCGACAGCCGCAATTTGAAACCGACCAGCCTTCAATCCGTGAAGTTCTTGCAGTTGTTTAAGGCGAGTGTTCGCGGCGCTAAGGCGAGAGCCGCATTTTGAAAGCGTCTCCCCCTCCATCAGTCAAGCGGTTGCCAAATTTCAAGCTTCAGGGTCATGAATGGTGAGGAATTCTCACGCGAAGCGCCTGGCCCGACCTTCCGCCCGGCCTCGGGGTGCGACAGGCAGGAGTTATTTAGAAGGACAAGGAATTGTGGAGGAGGGAGGAGGACGGCGAGGAGGAGGAGGACGGCGAGGAGGAGGGAGATGAGGAGGAGGAGGAGGATGAGGAGGGGGATTAGGCCGCCGCCGCCGCCAACGCCAACGCCAACGACGACGACGACGACGACGACGACGACGACGACGACGACGACGACGACGACGACGACCACGACGACGACGACGACGACGACGACGACGACGACGACGACGACGACCTGTGCGCCGCCGCCGAGGGGCCGCCGAACAGGCCGCGGCCCTGGCCGGCCTCGCCGCCACTCCCCAGGCGCGGCCGGGCGCCGACCCCGAGGCGGCGGCCGCAGCCGCGGGCGCGCTGGCCGCCCTGGGCGGGAGCGAGAGCGATGAGGCTCTGCGGCCACCCGCGAGCCTTTGCGGTTGGACCGAGGTATGAGATCGAGGTCGGTTCGGGAAGGGTACGGTGGGGCGCGCCTCAAGACACAATTCTGCCTTTCGTCCGGGTATCCTGGGCTTCTTCGCTCCGCGCGCTGGGCGGTGACTTCCCGCAGCCGTTGAAGAAGCTGCTGTGTGCAGGGTGCTCCTGGTTTCCCCTCCGGTGCACCTCGCGCGCGGATGTTCATGCTTGGGTTTCTTGCGCGGGTTTTTTGCGGCCGCGCCCGCACGGTAAGATCGAGGTCGTGTTCGGCAAGGGTACCTGTTTCGTGTTCGGCGCATGCTCTTGTGCATCCTGGGGAGGGCACCCTTGGATGTTCTGTGTGTTTTGGCTGGCGGAGGGCCTCGTGCTCTTGAAGACTATGTTGCTATCCTTGGTCCCGTGGCACCCCCTGCGGGTCCAGTCGACGTCGGAGAGCACCGGGCACCCCCGCTGCGGTGCACCCGAGCGACGAAATACACGAGTTCCGCTGCGCCGACATGCGCGCGCGAGCTGCTCGCGTAAGGTCGTGCGTAAGCGCCCTCGCCTCCACTGTGGATCACCACCCGCCAAACCACCCCAACCCAACCCGAAGGCCTCAATTTATCCTCGATTTCCAGTGGGGGGGGGGTCGGGGAACGTTGAGAAAACACATGGAATCCGTACCCCCCCCAACCCGAAATTCGGGTCAAATTCGGGTCTTCGGGTTGGGTTGGGGTGGTCTGGTAGGTAGTCAGGAGTGCCGCGCTGGCGGCCCGCGAAAGCCGAAGCGTAAGGTCGCTGTGTCATCTCGCGTAAGACCCCTTGCGTCGCGTCGCTCACCTGGCTGCAGACATCTGTCAAATTCTGAAACCCAGGACCCGGGCGGCTTTTCAGAAGTCGGACCTGCAGGTGTACGGTAGGTTCGCGTCGTGTCAACTGGCGGCGACCCCGCCGCCAGCGTTCAACGTTGAGTGTCGCTGGCGACCTAGAATCGGTTGATGTTGAACGATAGGACGTTTCGGAAATGGCTGAAGCCTTCAAGGTTGAACGATCCCCGCGGTGTCAAGAACCAACGCCGAATTCGGCACGACACGAACCCGCCGTACGCTCGTGCAGTCTCTTTTTCCCTGACCTTGCGGAGGGGTTCCCGTTTAGTGTTCCCCTGGGGGGGGGTCTGGGAGGGACCCCCCAGGACATGGCCCCCGCCACGGGCGGAACGCCGTCGGAAGCTGACGGAAGACGGCTGCTGTCGGCCCCAGTTCGGCAGACGCGTTTCCGGGCCACACGATGGTCCGCAAGATGGTCCAATGGGGCCATGAATCGCCGCAAGATCGGTCCAAAACGCCCGAGATGGCTTCAAGATGGATGTTCCAGGAAGCCTCCAAGAGGCCTCCGGGAGGGAGGCCTCCAAGAGGCCCCCCAAGAGAGCTCGAAGAGTCAACATTCACGTGCTTCCCTCCCGTGTTTGAAGGTTTGTCGCGTTTTCGCCTTGTCGACTTCCCGACTCTCCAAGACGGCCCAAGAGGCCCTAAAGATCGCCCCAAAACGGCCCCCAACCGTAGCCATTGTGGCTTAAGCACAGAAGCGTTCATCAGGTCGAGGTGTGCCAGTGTGGCCAGTCTTGCAGATCCGAGCTCTGCAGGATCTGCCCTGCTGCAGATGACAATGAGCCAAGGCTACCAGTCAATGAGCCATATTGGCAAGTACACGCACAAAGCGTTTGCGGGGATCGTGGTGGCTCTGTCGCTTGCATACGTCGTGATGGTTGTGGTCGAAGGGGGGAGGGGTGTGTACAAGGAGTGTGTTTTGGTCGAGAGCCACGAGGCGATCACTCGTCATCTGAGCAAGGAGGACTTTGCGCAGTACTCTTTTGGCAACTCGATCATCACCCTCGCCGCTTTCTTACCGACAGCGCCTGTGGCCACCTGCCTGCTCGCATTCGCTGCAACGCCTTACCTGCGCCGAGTGTCCGAGTACGCCTTGGTCTTGTGGGCGAGCAAGTGGATGCATGTGGTCTCCAACCTGCTGGAGTGCTCCGGCTGGTCTTACTGGATTGTGATGGTGCCTGGCTACCTCTTCCTGCTGTTGTACATCACCTCCTTCGTCATGTTCCTCGTGCTTCTACTGCGCCAAGTCAGAGCCCTGGAGGACAGCTCCTTCTTGGACCTTGGCTCGTCGCGCCTGCGTTCGGCTCTGAGGCGCTTGTCGGCAGCCCTCGTCTTCACCGCGCTGGTAGCCATGTCTTGGAATTCGGGCCTCTGGGGAGACCAGGGCGAGCATCCGATGAGAGTGGTCACTTCGATGCTCGCCTGGGCGTGCCTCGCTCAGATCCTCCACGTCTCGCTGCTTCCGATCCTGGCGATCCGACGAGTGCGGAGGCTGGCTTCAGCCGCGCTGGCGTCGGAGAGCGCCAGGGCGCTCGAGGAAGCCAGGCAGGCTCCGAAATTTCTCAGGCTCCAGCAGCTCGGTGTCGCCACCAGCCTGGCCACCTCCCTCGTCTGGCTCGCCCTGTGGATCTGGTCCTACGGGGCCCTCTGGCAGCTGCCCGAAGCGAGCGAGGAGGCGAGGACGCCACTGCTCGTGCTCGCCGTGTCGCAGCTGCCTGGGATGGTGGACACGATCTTCAACTCGCTGGCGAGCCTTGCGATCAGCGGAGCGTTCTTCGGCGCCCTGAGCGGTGGGAGGGCGTTGCTCAAAGGCGAGGCAGCGCGCTTCGAGAAGTGGACGAAGGCTGCGAAGGAGTGGTCTTCTCATCCGGATGCCGACTGGCAGGCAAAGGTTGTAGAGATGGCTGGCCGAGGGGTATCTCTACAAGCCCTGCTCGGTTTCTATCGCCGCCTGGGCAACGACCTGATGCCTGGCTTCGACCCCTCGCGCCACACCACGCATGACGTGGTGTTCCGAGCGATCATCCCTGAATCGAGCCATCATCGGAAATCCATGGCGCAGGTCATGATGGAGGACAAGCGTGCAGAACCCGAGAGGATGGTTACCCATAATTGGCAGAATTTGTTCTCGGACTTGATTTCTGCAATCGTCGCAGACGCACTGGGCGAAAAGGAATACTGCAGGGTGTCTCACTTGCTTCTCAATGACGTCGACACTATCGAGAGCTGGATCGATTATGTTGGCGTCGGTCAGCGCACCTACTGGGTATGCGCCTTTTCCGTCAACCAGCACACATCCACCTGCGAAAACACCTTAGGGTTGGAGGACTCCGTGACAGGCGAGAAGTATCCCGCTTGTAAATGTGGGCTGCCCAAGGCATTCAACAAGACCCCACCGCTGTCCAGCGAGGGACAAAGCATCGAGTGCGAGATGAACAAGTTCGACCCCATGGTCAAGACCCTCTCGGCCAGGAACAGGAACTTCTCGCAGCTTGTTGCGGTGGACAGGCGCTTCGAGGTGTTCAACCGAGCGTGGTGCGTCGCCGAGATTGCGGCATCGAACTCCATGGGAATGGACCAGAGGTTGCAGCTCCCATCGCGACGGATACTCCAGGAGAACCTGCACATGCTCTCCCGTCTGGAGATCTGCCGCATGGGGGCCAGCAGGCCCGAGGACAAGGAAGAGATTCTGCGCCACATCTCGGACCACGAGGCCTTCGACAGGAGGCTGAGGGACATGCTGCTGGTCCAGCTGCTACCCTCGTGGTCCACGCTGGACTCGTGGGACCACATGTTCTTGGCAGGCCGGGTCGTTCGCTGGCAGGTCGTTGCCTGCAGGCTGTCCAGCACGGTGTGGGATCCGGACCTCGAGCGCCAGAAGACTGTTGGCGTGCCGGGCCGTCTGGATGATACCGGCACGATGTGCCAGCCCTCAGGCCGGCGCGTGCCCAAAAATTAGTCGACCCCGATCGATCTGTGAGGATCCCGGGGCCCCATGCCGTGTGGTGTGGTAGTTGTCGATCGCCTCCTCGGGGGTGGCGCCGCAGTGCCCTGTGCGCATGATGATGTGGTCCTCCTCAGGGGCGCCGCCGTCGTGCCTTGTGCCGAGTGCCATCTGGATATGAGCCATCTGGACCTGTGCGCTCGTGGTGGGTGCCTGCTCGAATCCGTTGACCAATGGCAGTGTGGCTCGTTGTCGTGCTGCCTTCGCTCTCCAGCCCACAGGGGCAGGATCTTGCCATCAGTCGGGCATCGACTTGTATCGTCGCGCTTATCTGGCTGCTTCTATGTCTTGAGATCTAGACTATGTGGACTTTCTCCCCGATCTTGCGGAGGGGTTCCCGTTGTGTGTTCCCTTGGGGGGGTCCCCCCCTGGGGCATGGACATGGCTCGGGCCACGGGCAGAACGCCGGCGGACGCCAGCGGAAAACGGCTGCAATCAGCCCCATTTCGGCAGACGCGCTTCCCGGCGGCACGGACGGCCCCACGATGGGCCTCAAGATGTTCCAAGAAGGCCACGAGTCACCGAAAGATCGCTCCAGACCGTTCAAGATGGCCTCCAGACGGCGCAGAAAGCCTCCAAGACGCCCCGGGAGGCCTCCAAGAGGCCCCCCACGGAAGGAGAACGGAAGATTCTCAAGTGGCGGTCTGGGAGCCCCAATTTTCTAATTTCACACTCTCGCCTCGGCGCCGCGCACACTTTTTCAAAAGCGGCATACTCGCCTCGACGCTGCGCACATTTCTGTGAAGCGGACTGGTAGAGGTTCGAGCCCCAGGAGGGAGGGGAGTGACGGAGAGGGAGAGAGGGAGGAACCGTCCACGCCACCTGTGGTGGCGCATGTGGGGGGATGCATGGGCGGGGGTGGGTGGGTGGGGTGGGGGGAAATGTTGACAACATGTTCAACCTATTCTATAGGCTTACGCCACATCCGCCGACCCCTCAATAAACTACTGCGCGTCCAGGACTGCATTCCACGAGGCTTGTCCGATTCCTGGGAGGTTCTTGGGGGCGTTTGGGGGCTCTGTTCGGGCTCCCTGGGGGCTTCTTGGGGCGTGTTGGAGGTAACCTGGGGGCGTCCTGGGGCCGAAGGCTGGAAATGCGGGTTC